AGGCTGAACAGCGCTGCCTCTCTGTCTCGCACTTCTTCGGCCGTCTTATGCGGGTGCGAGAGGGCCAGAGCGTCTGCCGGCTGCGAGGCGCGCGGGGGCGGCATAGCAACAGGTGCGGGGGTGGGTGTGGGCCGCAAGGCCGGCCTGGGGGTGGCAGGGCAGCCGGGGCTTCCGACCCACCCCCAGGACGGCCCGAGCCTCGGCCCGAGCCCTCCCATTGCCATGGGTCACTCACAACCTAAGGCTCACATCGGCGTTCTTCGGTTAAAACTGACTTTCATCGGAAGTGTACCTGCGGGATGCAAGATGCCAATCTCAGGTCCTCGGCCACCACATCGATTATGGTGACCGGCGGCCGGTGGCCCCACACTGCCCGAAATAGAAAGCGAGATTGGAGACCGATTAAACACCTCTCCTGTGTTTCGTACTGAATTTCGTCCACTGCTCAACTAAGTTTCGTTTCCCTTTGTTGCAGGTATGTACGCTGGCCTCTATGCTGGACCAAATTTCCTGGCGGGCGCAAAACTAGGGCCGTCTGGTAAGAGTTTCGCGAGATGTACCGATGCTCGAGAGCACTCTCGGCCAGCATTGATGGGTCTGTTTTAAGTGCGAGGGCTGAGTACACGTACAAATCACCTGTATGGTGGCCGATAAACATGTAGTGTAGTCACGCCATGGTCTGCGTTCACGCCCGAGCACCGCGCCCGACTCTTCACCCTATCTGCGTTCACGCCCGAGCACCGCGTCAGACTCTTCCCGAGCACCGCGCCAGACTCTTCACCCCGTCTGCATTCTCGCCCGAGCACCGCGTCAGACTCTTCACCCCGTCTGCATTCTCGCCCGAGCACCGCGTCAGACTCTTCACCCCGTCTGCATTCTCGCCCGAGCACCGCGTCAGACTCTTCACCCCGTCTGCATTCACGCCCGAGCACCGCGTCAGACTCCGACCACCGGGACCGCCTGGCCGACCCTTCGCCTTCATGCATGTGGAACGCCGAGGTGCGAAGCGGTGCGAAGCCACGGTGCGGCATAGATACAGGCGCGATAGAGCCGGGAGCCGGCTGCAGGCAGACTCCGAACAGTGCTTCGTCGCCCTGTCTCTCTCGCACCTCCACGCACCGCCCCATGCGGCCCCGTGGGTGCGACAGAGACGGAAGGGCAGTTCGGAGCCAGCCTGCTGCTGCCGGGCTGTCGTACCTGCCCTGGCCCTCTACGTATAAGAGCCCTCGGCGAGGGGAGGGGGAGGGTCAGTCACTCCGTCATACGCCAGTTCAGCGACCATCTTGAGATCACGGCATGCTAATGGCCCCCGTGAATATTGCATACGGCAGCTGCGGAGTGGATTATCGCGGAGCCCGAAAGCCGAGCCCCGCCCCGCCCCACCCCACCCCGCCCCGCCCCGTCACAGTCGTCACGTGACACGTGACAGCCCCCTCCGGAAATGGACAGGACACTCTTCCTCTTGACCATGCAGCTGGAGGGTAGGCCGGCCTTGGACGCCACTGCGGCCTCGGGCGCGAGGCGGTGTCCGTGTTGTTGACCCGCGGGGTTTGGGGTTGCTGCACCCGCTGGGCCGCCGGATGCATCCAGGATGCATCCTGCACGCATACCCCTACCTCTGCCGTGTGTTTTGCCGCGGACCCTGGACGACCCCACAGACACACGCACAGGTACACTCTCTCACACACTCACACAGACACGCACTTATCGCGGGGCGGGGCGCGTCAAGTGCGGCACTCGCCATTCAATCGCGGCGGGGCGGGGCGGGGCGGGGGCGGGGCGGGGCGGGGGCGGGCGGGGGCGGGGCGGCACCAGCAACACGCACTGGGCGTCGGGAGTTATTCTGGCCTGTCTCCCAAACGGCGCGCGGGAAGCTTGGAAATTGAAACCGAGCCTGCTGCCTGCAACGGCTGACTCGCGAGGCGGCCAGGAATCGAGTGCCGACGCGATCCTGGCCTACCTCACGTGAGCCGCGCCGTGGCGTGCCGCACAGCGCCGCGCCGCGTGACCCGCCGACGCGGTTGTACAATGAAAACGGTCCGCGAAAACCACCTCACGCTCACACCGTGGCCGCCCGGCTGGCCTTATCTGGGACCGCGAGTAAAGAGCGAAGCAGCGAAGCCTGATAAGCTGCCCCGCCCCGCCCCGCCCCGCCGCGGCCACCCTGCCCGCCGTGCACGCTGTCCGGGCCGGGCGGCTTCGTCTGGGCCGCTGTTTCGGCCATGCTGCTGGTGCTGGCCTGTGCTGCCGAACACTGCCGTCGTCGCTCTGTCTCGCTCCCACTCATGGAGAGCCCCGCAGGGGTCGAGAGAGATTCGCCTCGCCGCCGCCTGTCGGGAAGTCGAGTGGGCAAACGGAACGCACGATAGCGAGGCAGCGAGGCAGAGAGCGCGGCCCGTGGCGATAATGCAGCGACCAGCCCTCGTCTCTAGTCTCGTGCGGCCGAAAGGCCGGCACGGGGCGCGGGCTGCAGCACTGCAGTGGAGTAACGTCCTTCCCCATTTCCGCCCCCACCCCGCCGTCCCGTCGCCCTCCGCGAGCTGGCAGGTTCGGTCGCGCGCCCCGGCTGGCGATCACGTACCCGATAACGGAGTTCAATGTTCAAAGGCCGGTTTAGCCTAGCCCGTGGGTTTGGGGTTCGGGGTTTAGGATTTAGGGTGGAGGTCACAGACCTGCCGAGGGAAGCGCGGAGGGGGTGCACTGTGGGGTAACTCCCACCGACGACGTTCCCAAACTCGCCGCCAACTCGTTTTTATGGCCGGCTATTGAGTTTGCTGCCGCCTGCCGCTTCCTCGGGGTAAGTTTTGGCGCGCGGAATAAGGTAGTTCTGGAGCGGTAACACTGTAACGTGACTGGAAATGGAATGGGGTAAGAAGCAGCACCCACACCGACGCCGACCGCCGACCCCGCCTCGGGGTGCTGCTGGGGGCAGCAGGCGGGCCGGGTCACACAGTGGGCCAGAAGAACGGTGGAGGCGGCCAAACCTCTAGACGCGTTTTGAGCTCCAGACTCGCTAAATGGATTGCTCTCTGAACGAGGAATCCATTTGTGGGGTCACACGTTCGGTTCGAGGCCTGTTTAGCGACTCTGGAGCTCAAAACGCGCCTAGAGTTTTGGCCACCTCCGCCGGTCATCTGGCCCACTGTGGGTCACCCGGTTATCCTACACTGCGAGGAGGGCGTGTCCTCGTCCCTGTCCTTCGCACTCACGGAGCGCACCAATCGGGTGAGAGAGAGATAGACAGACCCACGAGGTTCGCGGACCTTCCATCCGCAAGCGCGAGTCCTGACAGAGGACTCGACAGACAGTTGCGCCATTTTCCGTGTGCACACACAAACACACACAATCGCGCCGTGACGCTATAAAACGCTTTCCCTCTCAAGCCCTGCCTGAGCAGATAGCCACCGCGTGTCCGAGGCATTCTTCATCCTCGGCGACGCAGTAGTTGTTGTCGTAGTTGCCTGTCGTTTTTACAGCCGCAGGATCGCGTCTGCGTAAGCAGCAGGACTCTCACCGCCTCGATAAGATTCCCGCGCCGCTCGGGAGCCATGCTGCCGGCATGCTGCAGCCATGCCGCGCACGCCGTTTGGCCACGTTTGTCGTCTTAATCATTCCGCTCGGTTTTTGAAGGTGTCGGAATGTGGGCCAGGGCTTCGGCTTCGGGATGCAGGGCGGCCCACCGCGGCCCCGGCCAGGGCCCCGGCCAGGGCGACGAGGCGCTGCCAAAACGGCCACCACGGGCAGCGTCGCTCTGTCTCCCTCGCACCCCTGCGGCACGCGCCATGAGTGCAAGAGAGACCGGTCGCTGTTCGGAATCAGTCTGCAGTGTGCCTGCACGAGTGGCACCGCGCCGCAGTGCGTTCGTGGCCCTTCCACGTGAGTCCGCGGTCTCGTGCTCCACGACGGCGAGCCTTGGCAGAGCGGAGGACCGAAATATGCGTGCAAGAATTCCCGAGGATTTCCCAAGAAGGCCAGAAGAACCCCAACACCCCTCGCCGACGGCCGGGTCGGGGTCCGGGTCCGCACTCCTCCGACATTCGCACTGCTGCTGGTCGTGCTGGTCGTCTCGCTGCACGTCGCTTTCGTTGATCTGTCTCTCTCGCACTCCGCCCTTGGCCCCCCGCCGCGCCGTGCCCCTGCATCGTGCTGCTCTGGCGGCCCTGGCGGCCCTGGCGGCGGCGTGGCGGCCCCTAGGACCCACTGGCAATGGCGGCCACGAGGACACGAGGGCCCCGTCGACGCTGGCGGAGTCATTCCGAATCCGAACCTTGGTGGCGCCGCTCCATTGGGCGTTCGGGTGCCCCTCAGGTCTGCGAGGGAGAGAGAGAGAGGCACTGTGCGGCGTCTTGTGACGTCACCTCCTGCCGTCGCCATCCTGGTCCGCGTCTTCGGCCCCATCCTCGGCATTTTTCTCTCTCCCCCGTCCCGTTCGATTACGCGACGCAGCGCTTGCTTCGCGCTTCGCCTGCTCGGGGTGACAATGGGCGTCGCGCTGGTCGCGCTTGGCGAGGGCTATTTGAGTCCGCGCCCCATCAGGAGCAGAGCGGGCCGCCCCGCCCCGCCCCGCCCCGCCCCGCCCCGCCCCGGCGGCACACGCAACCTGAAAATACATAAGAAGGCCGCATTATCCAATCACGGAAAGTCGATCAATAAGTTCCAGCCGCTGTTCGCGTCCTGGGACTCCTGCTCGGAAAGCTCGTCCGTTAAACCGCCCCGACCGGCGGGACTGGCGCCTCCTCACGAACCCCAACAAGTGCGAGTGTGTGCACCTCGCTGTCACCCCGAGCTGTCACCCCGAGCCGAGCAGGGGTTTGCGAGCCCAGCCGGGCCGGCCGGGGAGCCGCGCCGTGACGTCGGAGATCATGAGACTGGCGGCGCGGCCGCGGCGGGCCGGCCGGCAGGGCGCTAGTGGTGGTGGGGGCGCCGCGCGGGGCCGCGCCGGGCCGGGCGGGCCGGTGTGGTGTCTCGACCGGCGGGGGCTCAGTGCTCGGTGGCAGCGCGGCGCAAACGGCACGGTCGGGCGCAACAGCGGGCGAGCCGTCTCAGCCAACGCAGTGTTGGCGCCCAGCCACGACAGGAGCCCGGCGACCGGCCGAGCGGCAGTGCCGAGGGCAGTGCAGGCAGCCACCCCGTCTAGCCCTACTTGAACCACCCCCATGTGACGCAGCACGCGAAGCAAGCCGAGGTGCTGTCCCCCAGTGACGTGTCCAGTGTCCAGTGCAGTGCCGACGGCGCCGACGTGCGTGCGACTGTGCGACCCCCCGAGTGCCACTCGGAGTGCCACGATAATGGGTGTGCTGGTGGGCGAGGCCCCCAAGTCGTTCGCGCTGCTGTCCGCCTCCGCCTCCGCCAGGGCCAAGGAGGACCTGGGCGCGATGGTGGGCCGCGGCCGCTTCCACGACGAGGACGAGGATGACGAGGACGAGGAGCGGCGGCGTTACGCGGCCCGGCCTGACGGGCCTGACGGGCCGGACGCCGTCGGCGCGCAGCCGGACAAGGGCGAGCTGCACTGGGCGCCGCCGCCGCCGCGTCCCAAGAAGACCTGGATCAGGCACTTCTTCGCCAATGGTACGGTATGACACTCACTCGGCGACGTCGCCATGTCGTCCTGGCGGGCTTATCGGGCACGGCGTGGCGTGCCACGGCCGCAAACACGCTCACGTGAAGGCGGCAAACAACACAGCACCCGCGCCGCTGTGTGCGTGTGTCTGTGTGTCTGTTAGACCGTGCCGCTGCCGAAACTATCGCTAACCCGCGAAGGTCCTCCTACCGATGCCCTCACTCGAGCGCGCGCACTCACACACACTCACTCCCTCGTAGAGACACACACACATACACACACACACACACACACACACACACACACACACACACACAGACCCACCGCCCCCGCTAGCCCGAGGCTGCTGTGGACAAGTCGGGCGCCTTGCGCAACCGCTCCAAAGATAACACGCGACGCGCCCCGCCTCGTAACGCCACCGCGGGCACGCAGACTGCACGCAGTGTCCCCCCCCCCTCCCCATCCCGCGTCCGGAGAGATGGGGCCGCGGTCTTCTTGAGGCAGGTTGTATGCATGCCTTTTTCCGGTCGTCGCTAATACGGTGACTCACTCGCTGCAGCGCCACCGCCACTAATCGCGCATGGCCGCCGCGGGCCTCGGGCCGCCCACACCGTCTTGCGGTGGAGTGGAGGGGCACTGCACTGCCAAAGCCTTGGCCAGAGCCGGCCGACGCCGCGAGCTTGCAAGGTGTGTGGTACCTGGCCCTGCGCCGCCAACGGGGCTTCGTCGCTCTGTCTCTCTCGCGCCGCAGCGCAACGCCCCGCGAGTGCGAGAGAGAACCCCCGCGAGATGGTCGTCGGCGTGTTGACGAGTCACGAGCCCTTCCCTTCGCGACGACACAGCCACGGTGCGATGCCCCGTGCCCTTGGACGTCGTAGGTCTTTGCTTTACTTTGCTCTCCTTCCCCCTCTCTCTCCCTCTGTCTCCGCCCCCCTCCCCTCCCCCGCCGCTAGCTGGCGGCCCACGGCCCACGCAGCCCGCCGTGCCGTGTATTATCGCGGTGTTTGTGCCCTCCGCGCTCCGCGACGGTGGCGGCGCGTTTGCCGGTTGCGGCGTTCGTCGTCATTCATCTGATTTTCTGCCTTTCTGCTCGTTAGCTGCGGCGCACTTTGAGGATTAGGCTGGCTGGCTGGCTGGCGGCATGGGTGTCCGCCGTGTCCGCGGCCCTCGTGGCTCCTGGCGACACCGGAACCGGTTCCCTCCGGAATCGGCGATGGCCTGACTGGCCAGCCAGTCGTCTTCGCGCTCGACCGCTCGAATCGGATTGCCTTTGCACCGCGGCGCTGATGCACTGTCGCGAGGCTTACGCGAGGCGTGCCCCCTCTCTGCCTTTTGTCTTTCTCTCTCTCTTTCCCATGTTCCTCGCTATCAGCGCCGCGCGGCACTGTGTCAATGTCTGGTTCCCCCGCACGTGGACCAATGCCGTGCCGCGCCAACGCGAGCGGGGAGGGGGAGGGGAAGGGGCATGGGCCAAAGGGGCAGCCATGGCGCAGACCAAAGCCCCGGCACGGCACGGCACGGCACGGCACGGCACTGGCGTCGCGCCGTGTCACCAGCAAACAACAGGCCGGCCGGCCGGGCCGGACCCAGCGTATGAACCCGCGACCCTCACGTCCAGAGCATCCCCGCCGCCTGGTGGTGGTGGTGGTGGTGGTGGTGGTGGTGGCCACGCCGCTCCGCGCGCCGCCCTCGCCTCACTGTCGCAACGTGCGTGTTTATTTATTGGACCGGGGAGAAGAAATTGACTGGGCCGGCCGTGTTGTGATGGCGCCGCCGTACTTGTCAATGCATGGAGGGCGTGGACGGCTTGGCGTGGCGTAGCGGGGCGGGGCGGGGCGGGGCGGGGCGAGGCCGACGACCTCAGGCTGTTATCACTGACCCAGCCCAGCACGCTCCCACCCCTCCCCACCCCTCCCCCCCCCTCCCCCGCGGCCCTGCGCGGCACTAGTCGTGCGTCGAAAATAAAACGAACCGCGTTGTCGCTGCGCTGTCGTTGCGCTGGTGGGCAAACAGGCCTGCAGACCGATTCGGAGCGGCGGTCTCTCTCTCACTCGCTCTCGTGGGATGTCCCAAACGGGTGCGAGAGGGACAATCGACGACAGCACTGTTCGGAATCACTCTGCAAACTGATTCCGAGAGTCGTTTTCGTCGCTCTGTCTCTCTCGCACCAAGACGCGACTCCCCGGGAGTGCGAGAGAGACAGAGCGACGAAAACGACTCTCGGAATCAGTCTGCTGCTGGCTATCGGCGCCGCCGCGCACATGGACCTCGCTATCGCCGCGCCAGCCTGCGCCTCGCGCCTCGCGTCGCCGGGGAAGCACCCTTGCCGACCAAACCTTGCTCCTCCTCGCCCAAGGTGGGCGACGCAGCTCTAGAACGGACCTTCGCCTTCGCCCTCGCCTTCGCCTGGCCGCGTGCCGCGTGGAATGTCCCTGGCCCGACGGTCGTGCCGGAGACTGATCCCGAATCCTTTCGCCGCTCTCTCTCTCTCCCTCTCTATCGCACTCATTCGAGGGGCGATCCATCAGGGTGCGAGAGAGACAGAGTGATGGAACGATTTTTCAGGTTCCCCCCTCTGCTCTCTGTCAGCCGTGGGCGGGGGTGGCCACAGGACACTGTCCTCAGGACCCCCGGCGGCCGGGCGGCCTGGCGGCGTGGTGGCCTCCGCCACACGGTTTGTCCGGGATCCTCGCTCCGGACCGGTGTTGTCCTAGGCTCTGCTCTGCCCGGTTTCAAATTCCCCCTCCCCCTTTTGCTGGCGTCCTCTCGGTCCTCTCCGCTGGCACGCGTTGGCGCCAGAACCGGTTCTGTGTTGTCCGTGGCGCGGCGCGCGGTGCGAACCCGCCAGCACAGCGTGGCACAGCCGCGGCGCGGCGCGGCCGAGCCGAGCCGGCCGGCAGTCAGCCTCAGCCGGCCCCAGGGGCCTTAGCCGGCTATCCACGTACGAACCTGACCGGTGCGGCGTGCCGCGCCTCGCCAAACCCGTCGGCGTCCTTCTAAAAATAAGTCCGGATCACACGGGCATGGAGGGCGGGGCGGGCGGGGCCTTGCCCGCGTGGCGTGGGGTAGTCCGCCGCGCCCCGCCGCCCGTACACCCGTTCGGAACACCGTCGTACGATCTGCGAAGGATTCCGATAAATAGGGAGGGGGCTTTCGCACTCGCACACATTCACACGGCGCCGCACTATCTAGCCGTCGTTACGTGCGCTCCGTTTAACCCACCCTCCCCGCCCCGCGCCCGCTGTTTTTAGCTCGAACCGGCCGGTGCACCTTCCGCGGCCACCTCTCCTTCGCCGCGTCGGGCGGCAACAGTTACAGTGTACATGATACAGTGACGCGGCCCGCGAGGCGCTGCGCTCGCGGCGCTCGGCACATGGTGGCCGTCGTCGTCGTCGTCGTCGTCGACGTCGTCCTTTCCTGGCGGAAGTGACGCGACGCGGCGTGGCGCGATACCGAGGCGCGACACTGCAATCGATGCTCTACGTGTGCCGTGCGCGCCGTGCGGCCGAGCGCTCGAGCGGCGCAGAAACAGAATGACGCCGGCTATGCTGTCTCTCTCGCACTCTCGGGGCGTTCTGCAAGGGTGCGAGTGAGACAGAGCGACGGAGTCGCTCCGCTGCAGCGAGCGCGCAGTCGTTGGGAAACGCGCGTGTGATCTCGCAAACAGTGCGTGCCGCCTCTGTTTATTTCTTTTTTTCGGTGTGGTGGCGCGGCACGCGGTGTGCAGCTCGGTGTGCTGCGCGAACCGCGAGCGCTCCGGCCGCGCCGCCCGGCCTCCGCGCTCGCTCGCTCGTTCGCCGAGTCACGTGTGCGAGTGCAGGGCCGTCCCGTCCCGTCCCGTCCCGTCTCGACAACACTCATTCATGTCCACGGGCATCGGCAAGGCGGCAAGGCCAGCGGACCTGAGGCCACGCCACGCCTTCGCGGCGAACTGTCTGCCTGCCCCCCCCCCCCTGCCCCGTCCGGCCGGGGCACCTCCGCAACCTGTCAATGAGTGCCGCCTCCCAGGTGGGGCGCGGCAGCGCGGCGCGCCAGGCCGCCAAGCGCCAACCAACCGCCCGCCAGGCCCTCGCCATGCGCCGCGCGCTTCGCCTCGCCGAGCCCCGAGCCTCGTGCAGGCCGCGTTACTCTTGCCGTGGAGGTGCCGCAGCGTCGCCGCGTCGCCGCTCAAAGGGAGCATCGCCTGCTGCTCGCGTGCTCGCGTGGCGGCGCTTCCCCAAACGACAAAGGCGGTGCGATGGCTGGCAGATGTCCGCCCTCGCCGGCCGGCTGCCGGTCCGCTTCCAGAATGCCACCTCGCCGGTCGGAGGCGCGTCGCGTCGCCGTGCCGTGGCGTCGCCGTGGCCATCCCGGGCCGGACCGCCACCGCCCCCTTCCGCCCCGGCCAGATAGTTGGCGCCGGTCCAGCAGGCCACGCTGGCCAAGGTGGAGGCGGAGCGGAGGAGTCACGGCGCCCCGCCCCGCCCCGCGATGACGGCCGAGTTGTTTGCGCCCTCCCCCCCCCTCCCCACCGGCCAGACGATTACTGGTCGTCCGACGCAGCGGGGCCGCGGCGAGGCGCCCCGCGTAGGGTAATGAGCCCGTGGCCCCGCCGGCCCGCCGCACCGCCCGTGCGGAAAATTATCGTGCCCGTTGGCCGCGTCATCGCCAAGGCATCGCCACCACGTGGAACACAGTGGAACAGCCAACAGGCCGCCGCGCGCCGCCGCGCAGTGGTTCCGACGCCCTGTCTCTCTCGCACACATGGCGCGTCCCGTCGAGGTGCGAGAGAGACGGGGCGACTGAATGGGGACTAGGCCCGCGTGTCCCCGCGGTGCCAAACAGGCGGCCCTATTTGGGAGCGTTGACTCTTCCCTTGCCGCGGCGTGCCTTGCCTTGTGCCTTTGAACTGCATCTGCCAATCAATGCCGACTGATTCCGCTGTTTTCATCGCTCCGTCCCTTCCGCACTCACGTATAGGTGCGAGAGAGACGGAGCGACGAAAACGACTCTCGGAATCAGTATTAGT